CTAGTTACGGCGTCGCTTTTCAGGAAGCGTTTTCTCGCCCAGCTGTCTTCTGATTGGAGAGATTTCGGTTGTGAAGGCTACGGAAGCCAAGAGGAAGCCAGAGGTTGAGTGGCGTTTTATCTGAGAGGATTCGTTCCTCAGCCGAACGGTACTGGTTCTTACCATTCTGGCAATGTCAGATGAAACAAAATAAACAAATAAAAAGTAAACGCAAATCAAAACAAATTAAAATGTGAGGCATGAATTTCAGAAAAACACTTTTTAACATTAGTATGCCCCTGATATTAAAGACTTCCCTAAAAGCAATATTCAGTTCTGTAAAAACAATGTGCTTTTGAAATTCAAATTTGACTGCCCGGCTTGTATTTTACCTGAAGTTCTGAAGTGAGGAGAAAAAATCTAAGATCTCACTTGAAATCTCTACTCCTATTCAAACTGGTTCAAGTAGCTGTGGTGGTGCTTGGCTAACAGGCCAAAAAATCATGAGTGGTCTGAAGAATATCCACTTTTTAAAGTTAGTACTTGAAAATTTCCAACTCTGCCATGCACTTTCGTGAACAAACTCCTTTCTGAGCACCATCCCTGCCACCATTATTGTTATTCCTTTTCAAAGTAAAGCATGCCTATTGATTCCTGAAGACTTCAGCTTTTTTCTGATGCCCTCCTCAAGCCTCCAAAGATTGTTAAATACTTCCATGTCTGTATTTTGATAGCACTATAGCATTAAACATTGGTGCTCCTGATATTGAAAGACTGCAACACCTAAATCAAATGTACTGTCTCTATGGTCTCAAAGAACGAGTCCATGGACACTGAGGAAGAAGTACAACAGCAAAGATTTATTGACAAAAAATGAGAAGCAGAGCTCTTGCTAGATAGGAGGGGTACTAAGAGAGGGTACCACCTGAGGTACATTGTGCAAGGATTAATAAGGTGTTCGAGGACAGCTACGGTGCCTGGCCAGATCATTGGATAGCCAGTGGACCCAGACCCAATCAGAGACTCCACACAGCCTGCACTGTGTGGTTTAGTCCCTCTGACTGGGTGCCTATTCTAGCCTATCCTTGTGGGGTCCAATCAGTTCACTTCTCAAGTCTTTCAGGAGTAATGGTCCATGATGTGATGCCCAGTGGCTGCCATGCACTACTGAGCAAGACCATGGTGATGTGATATCTGGGGTCTGCAACCAGAACTGTTCAAGGTCATGGTGATGGATGCAGAAACTCTGTAGGAGGGGCCATTTTCCCTGATTGCTTAGCCAAGCCATTTTTCCACTCTCATTCTAACCTCTGGCCCAAGCACTAAAAAAGTAAATAAATTAGGAGTCTGCCCATCAAAGGTTCACAATCTCATAGGGGTACATGCTTCCATTTATAATTAAATCTTAAGGAATAATATCTATTTGAGACTAATTTCTAGTAGTCAATAGTTGTAACAGGATTATGAGGTAATTCTAATAATAGTGTAGTGCCTGAATGTGGGCCTCAAAGTATGTCTTTAGAATATTTTCTTAAAATGTACTAAAATTAGACAAAAATACTTATATACACTGATTTCTGATTATACCTAGAATGATATGACAATAATCAGTGCCAAGTGTGGTATTAAATGACCTAAATAGAAAAGATGTGAATCAAGTGTATCATCTTCCCGGGAAATTCAGTTCTTTGTGCATTCATATGTAAATAACATCCCTTTGATAATTTTGAAGTGGAAGTAAGTGACATGCATTAAGAGTCTACTGTCTATAGGAAAAGCACAATGAAGAAAATAAAATCTGCCAATCAGCCACACACCCCAAACAAGATGAAGGCACTTGTAAATGTCTATGATAAGAGGGAGTGGTAAATGTTATAATAGAAATACAATAAAAATACTGGAAGTTTGGAGGCAAAGAGTACGTCTGTCTGCCAGGTAGAACAATAAGTGTGTCTATAAAGCTCTTGGGAGCAAGGACATCACAAAAGCAAAATAAATGATGTACACAGACTGATGGGTAACTGTCAATCATGGTTGCATTATTCTAAGAGCAGAAAAAGAACCTGGTTGGGCACTCAGGACCAAGACCCCCTCCCATGGAGGTTCTGCATCCGTCACCATGGCCTTGAGCAGTTGTTCATGCCAGGCCCCAGACATCATGTCATAGCCCATTGGCCCTGGAAGACTTGCATAGGAGTAGTGGGCTGATTGGGCCTGGAAGACTTGCATAGGAGTAGTGGGCTGATTGGCCCCGGAAGGTGTATATAGGAACAGAAAGAACATCTAGTCAGTGGGGCTAAACGATGCATGGAGAACTGTGCAGGGTGCGTAGAGCCTCTGATTGTATCTGGACGCTGATATGGCCTGAGGGCTGCCCAATAATCTTGAGAGTCACGTAGCTCTCTCCTAACTAGCTTAACTAACCTTAATTAACCTTACTAATCCAAGCACAGGCACCCAGGTGATGCTTTCCCTGGGAACCCTCCTGTCTAGCAGGAGCTCTGCATGTCTTTTTTTTTCTTCAATAGAACTTTGCTGTTTAGCTTTGTCCATCTTTGTCTCCCTCTTTGTCTAGGGACCATAAAGACAAAGGACCTGTCTAGGTGTTGTAATCCTTCAGAATCATTTACACAAGGAAGACATGTGGAAAGAAGAACAGCATGTTCTGCAAAAGTTAGAGCAAACTGGTAGACATCCTCCCCAAAGAAAATGGGCTTGATGTTTATTGAGCCTGATTTCTAGCCAATATGACATTTTCAATTAATATCTCATAAGTCTTAACACTTTACATTCTGCTTCAAATAGAAAAATAAGAAAAACAGTATAAAACTTTGAGCTGTGACTAAAACAAAACAAAACAAAACAATAAAAAAGATCTAAGCTGGGCACCAGTGGCTCACGCCTGTAATCCTACCTACTCAGAAGGCTGAGATCTGAGGATCGCGGTTCAAAGCCAGCCCAGGCAGGAAAGTCCATGAGACTCTTATCTCCAATAAACCACTAGAACACTGGAAGTTGTGCTGTGGCTCAAGCAGTAGAGTGCTCGCCTTGAGCTGAAAAGTGCAGGGAGAGCTCCCAAGCCCAGAGTTCAAGCCCTATGACCGACAAAATCCACGGTTGGGAATGTAGCTTAGTGGTAGAGTGCTTGCTTAGCATGCATGAAGCCCTAGGTTCAATTCCTCAGTACCACATAAACAGAAAAGGCTGGGAATGACGCTGTGGTCCAAGTGGTAGAGTGCTAGCCCTGAGCAAAAGGTCAGGGACAGTTCCCAAGCCCTGAGTTCAAGCCCTAGGACTGGCAAAAATAAAAAAGATCCAAGAAGAAAAAGAACCAAAATGCACAATGATGATCAGGACCAAAGCCACATAGATCCTAGATTCCATATATGGTAGTAGGAATGCACAAAACAGGGTTCATGGGACTCTGTGTGGCTGGGGACAGGAAGTAGCGTCGTGAAAGATAGTCACATTGGTGGCTTTCATTAAACAACTTGCCAAGGGACATCCCTGTCTAATCCCCTTCCACATTGACTCTGGGGTGTGACAATGTGAATTTGCTTGGCCATTGGGACCTCAGTGGATGAGAGACCACAAAGGTTTGGTACTTGTTTATGGATTGGGTCTTGTCCTGTTGGAACCATTCCTCTTGAAAGCCAATGGCCATTCTGTGAAAAGTAACATGTTAAATGATGAAAAGCCACATGGAGAGAGGCCTTGAAAAATAAGACTTCATCTTGGTGATTCCAGCTATAAGTGAGTACCCCCCCATAATGTAACCACTGGAATAACCTCATTATCTGATTCTGGTTAACCTCTAAAATTAGGATAAATAATAAGTCATTGCTGTCTCAAGACAGTAAATATTAGGGTGGTTTCCGATATCTACCTTTTCTCCAATTATGCCTTTTTTGGAACATCCCTATTTCTAAATTAATTTTTCTCTTTAAAATATTTTCCTTAGCTTGGAGCTAGTATCTCATACCTAATCCTAGCTATTCACATGGCTGATTTGTGATTCATAGTTTGGAGCCAGCCCAGATAGGAAATAACCAAATTACCAGCAAAAAGCTGGAAGAAAAGGCATGATTGCCTGGAGGCTCTAAATTCAAGCTCAAGTATCATCAAAACAAACAAACCAAAGAAAATGAAAATACATTTTCCTTAGCATACAATATAAAGTGGTAGAGCACCTATCTAGCAAGTTACAAGCCCCACATTCCACATAAAAACAAGCAAATGAAAATTTAAAAACAACAAACAAAAATTTGATCAGGACAAATTCCATCATAAGAGAGCCCCAACATAGTGAGAAAGAAATATGAGAAGAAATATTTACATAACATATTTACATAATATATTTGTATAGATCAGATAACACAAAATGCCACAGTTTGAATAGTGGTGTTTATTTCCTTTAAATACACTTAAATATAACACATCAGACACTAGTTTTTACTAAAATTCAAAAGCTACAAGCTCAACAGTGGTTAGAAGTCAGTGTTGATCATACAAAGAGAGTTTGCATAAGCAAGAATCAGATTAATTCATAAGAGTTGCACTTAGCAGAGGACTCGGAGATTCTATCATTTTCCCTGTCCACTCTGAATAATCAATCTTATGGCACCTGCCAATCAATGACAAGCAAACCTTTCTCATCATCAACAGCTATAGGCTCCACAGGTCCCTTCCTCTCCACTCCTCGGTATGCAAAGACATCAGCTAGAGGCCATCTGTCAGTGAACCAGGGGATACTCAGCTGGAATTGAATTCAAGGTTGGATTGATTCTCTGTGATACAATATTAAATGGATTTTTTTTCAAACACCTGATGGGGAAAAACAGTGATAGCAACTTGGCAAAGCCGCCTGCTGTTTTAAGTGACAGGGATAGGGAATTTGGAACAAATGTGAATCAAAGATTCCGTTGGCTGTGGAGCCCCTGGGAAGCCCTTTTGTCCTTTGGAAAGCAACCATGCTTTGTACATGCTGGTTTTCCATTAGCACATGTTCTAGTGTGGAAAGGTCATTGGCCCTCACAGCTGTCCCAAAAGAAAGTGAAGATGAGAATTTAGCATCAAGAACTAAACTGTTCTGATTTGCTTGTGTTTTCAATACATGCTAGACATGTATTTAAAATGTCAATAGGAAATCTTGAGTGGTTATTCGATGTGGATCAAAAAAACTGATTAAAGCCTAAAAAGTAACATCCAAGTGTTCTGGCCATGGAAAATAATTCTTGCTTATATAAATCTAGTGGCATCCCCTTCATCAAAGAAAAACACTCAACACATATACGCTGAGAAAGAACTGGAACAAAAGAGTCTGCTGATAGCTCTTTCCCCTCCACTAAGTAATTGTTTAAATTCCATCAATTTGGTTTTTGCTTAAGACCTATAAACTCATAATAGCAGGCAGGAGTTTCTTCATGTCTCAATAAGTCATCAGTGTACTCACTTTTGTTTATTCTTTAGCTTCAAAACATGTGTTCTTTTTTATCAAAAAGGGATGTGGGGCTGGGAAGGTGGCTCAGTGGTAGAGTGCTTGCCTTGAATGTATGAGGCCCTGGGTTCGATTCCTCAGCACCACATAAACAGAAAAAGCTGGAAGTGGCGCTGTGGCTCAAATGGTAGAGCGCTAGCCTTGAGCTGAAGAGCTGAGGGACAGTGCTCAGGCCCATAGTTCAGGCCTCATGACCAACAAAAAAAGGGAGGGGGATGTGTGAACACTGAGGGGGAAAAATAGCTTCAGAAGGAATCCCATCGAATCAACATGGCATCTCCATTAACTTAACTTACATAAATTAAGTTAAGGCAAAAGTGAAAAAGCCATGGACCTGCAGGTGTCTGGGTGGAAAATCTTGTGCTTCTGGCAACAACTCTCCAGACTTTCTTTGCATTCAAAGCAACTGCAGTTTTCTGGGTGCTGAATAAGATCCCTGGGACATGGGGTTTTACAGACACACTCACAACGATCTTCGTCCAACTTCATGTGTGGCCCACAGAAAGCCGGTTCTTGGGGATGAGTGTAGTCTAAACAGAAACAGATAAATGTTGGTTGGAGAGCTGGAGCTCTCTATACTATGAACATCCATGCGTTGTTGAATCTACATTAGCCTGATATAAGTTGGATTCACTCAATTTCCTTTCCTATAGGTTTTTGCCTTTAATTTAGTCACCAGATTAAGGAGATTCACCTCTAACTTTCTAGCAGAAACACAAAATCCACGTGTTGTATAATTTGTGAGAAATTACCATTTGCTGAATGGGTTTAAGGTATTTTAGACATTATCAGATAGGTGACAATTAAGCATTTGCAGTTATGTATAGGGTGTCTATGAGTTATAAGTGCCCTGCTACCAATTTTTTTAGGAGATTAAAAGGAGAGCAGAATGGAAGTAATTTGTGTTGCAGCAATACATTTCAGAACCAGACTGACAATAGCAATGGTGATACAGTCTACAACTCAGATGAATACAATGGTATGAAAGACAAAACGGAGGCAATGAACTGTGATTCCATAGTTATTTACTGGAAGATACATTCTACTGAAGATCCTTTGAAACACTTTTGATATGTTTAGCCCATGGATACTTCTAGAAAATGTACCAAATAATTGGATAGGTGGTACTTTTTGTCCAATCCTAATTAGTAAATTGAAATCCATTGCAAAAAGAATAGAGGAGGTAGAAACTTTGGAAGAATTTGAACTTAGTCACTTTGCATTTCTTGAAGCTTTGAGAGGAAAAGGTAGGGGCTTCTTCCCTTAGACAGGCTTCTCTCCCAGTTTGCCTCTTTTAAGGAATGGAACCATTACTCTGGATGCAAACAATGTATTACGTTTGGACACAATATCTAGTCAGTCCTGAAGCCCTGAGCTTGTTCTTTCATTTTTGTTTTTTGGTTTTTTTTTTTAGGGGAGGGGTTATTTTTTGGTCAGTAATGGGGCTTGAACTCAGGGCCTAAGGACTGATCCTGAACTCTTTTGCTCAAAGCTAGTACTCTAACACTTTGAGCCACAGCTCCACTTCCAGTTTTTCAGTGGTTCATTGGAGATAAGAGCCTCATGGGGACTTTTCTTTCCTTTCTTTTTTTTTTTTTGTTGGTCATGGGGCTTGAACTCTGGGCTTGGGCGCTGTCCCTGCGCTCTTCAGCTCAAGGCAAGCGCTCTACCGCTTGAGCCACAGCGCTACTTCCAGTTTTCTAGTGGTTTATTGGAGATAAAAGTCTCACGGTCTCTCCTGCCCAGGCTGGCTTTGAACCGCGATCCTCAGATCTCAGCCTCCTGAGTAGCTAGGATTACAGGCATGAGCCACTGGCCCTCTGCTTCTTTCATTCTTTGAAAGATGTTTCATTAGCACATGTTAGTTATACAAGTAGAGTGCACAGCAATATTAGCATAAATATATCAAATGTGTTTCAATCAAACTCAGCCCTTTCTTCTCTTTCCTTGACCATATTCCTGTTCTTAAAACAATTCCAATAGGTTGTACTAGTCGATTTTCACACATGTACATAAAGTAGTTCAACCATATACACCCTCCTGAAGTCTCTACATTGGAACTCCCATCCCTGGCCAGTACCCTCCCCACCCCCAGGTTATTCTTCCTTTTTCCATAACCACTGCAATGGCCACGCATTTGATCAGCTCCTTGTATTCCTTGTGAAGGTGGCCTCTCAGACATCTCACCACCACAAGTTTTATCCCTCACATCTGTTCTTCACATGATTATCAAACTCAAACCTAGTCATCTTACTCCACTGCTCCAAATGTTTTGAAAGTTCCCTCCCTATCATAAAAGTGAATTTTCTCACCACAACAACTTCTAAGTCTCTCTTTGCCTCTGTATTTGTTTCTCTCTGTCTCTGTCTCTCGTTCCCTCCCACCTTCTCTTCTTTGCTCCCTCTCCCCCCCCACACACTCTTCTTCCTCACCCTGTCCTCTCTCTCTTACCTTAAACTCAAATGGTAATTTCACAACATGCAATCTCATGGTTTTGACTGATTTTTAAATGGTGAATGTTTTAGAAACTATATAGACTAGATGCCCCGGAAACCTCGTTCTGATTTACAGGAAAAGGAAAATGGTGAGCAGTGTATACCATAAGGCAGTGAAGTAGCTGTCTCTTTAGGGTAAAACAAGACTGTTTCTCCTTGGAAGAGAGGAAGTGCTTAACATTTCATATGGACCACTAGATGGCAGAAGAGATCCACTTGGAGCATTTCATAGAGGACTACATTGTTGGACAGGGAGGTTTAGAAAAACACAATCCCCAAGGTGTTGAATTCACTTCAGCAGATTGTAGTCGAGAGGCAGCCCTTACATTCCTTACAGGCAAAGGGAAGACTGAGTTCAGACATCCTGGATGATGCGCTATCAGTGTGCTCTGCCATCATCCTTGTTTCATTTATAATTTTAAGAATACATGGGTGAAATTTGGGGGAATACATCCTTGAAATTATGACTCTCTTGAGAAGGAAAGGAATGTCCTAAATCCTCCACATTACAAAATAGAGATGCCCCCAATGGTTTCTTTTTGTTTTACTTGGTTGTTTTAACAGCTTTGAATAACGACTTCACTGTAACCATAGGAAAATAAATCGGGCTGGCATTTGTTAATCCAAATGCACTTCCCGAAAAGTCACTACGGAAAAAGCAATTGGCTTAACAGCCACATTCGTGGGGAAGATGAATAGTGAACAGAAAAAGCTCAGTATATGCCAGCAGTTTGGTAGGATTACTGGAGAAATTAACTTGAATTTGGGCACACTAAGCAATTACGGGAGATGAAAATTAGCAGGGACTGCGATGGAGACTACTTGCTTATCTCATTTCCATCATGCCTACCATTTCCCCAAAGCTCCCTGCTTCCTTTGCTGCCTGGATCAACTCATCTTCTTCCATACCGTGCTAGCTTGACTTCATTAAAGATTCTCAGGGGAGTGCTATCCCTCTGCGGCTTGATTTATTTGAGTGGTTTCTCTTTGGCCTTAGCATCACATGCCAGCGTCTCCAGCACAAGGCTCACAAGGTGTTCAATTTAGCTTCTTCCTAGCTTCCATTCCCCCATGTACCCAGAACCCCCCACCCCATAGATGTCCCCACTCTGCTGAATATCTTCCAGCACCCCAAACGTGCTGAGTTCTCTCCTCTCCACTCCTAAGCCCTCCTATTCTCCGGGTCAGACCACTTCAGTCTTTCCACCGTGATACATGTGTGGACTGAATGAGTTCCTCCCCAGTAACTGCCTCCTCATCTAATGGGAAGTCCCTTGCTGAGGAAGTCTGTACTAGTGTGCAGGCCCAGCCCCTTCACCTGGTTATTGAAGATGTGCCCCAAGAGAGGGCCCAGCTTCCACTCCCCATAGAATGGGCTGCTGCCTTTTAGCAACTGCATCACAATGTACTGCTTCTCGCTTCACCCTTTAATGCATTGTCCTTGCATGCAATCCTTCTGCCTCAGAACCTATGTGACCTGGAAACTTCAACTAGAATAGAATTTAAGTTCTATGGCTATTGCTTCTCACAGTAACTTCCTTTTTTTTTTTGTCGGTTATGGGGCTTGAACTCTGGGCCTGGGAGCTTTCCCCGAACTCTTCAGCTCAAGGCAAGTGCTCTACCACTTGAGCCACAGCATCACTTCTGGTTTTCTGGAGATAAGAGTCTAACGGACTTTCCTTGCCTGGGCTGGCTTTGAAATGAGATCCTCAGATCTCAGCCTCCTAAGTAGCTAGGATTACAGGCATGAGCCACTGGCGCCTGGCCCACAGTAAGTTTCTAACACTATTTAAAAATGAATCACGTGAAGAAGGAGTTAGAATCAGTCTTACAAGGCTCTATCAGATGAGAACTGAGCCAATGAATTGATGTTTGGGAACTGGACTGTCCACTGAGATAGCTCTGGGCCTCACATGTCTGTTGAGCATGAACTGGGAATACAAATTGAGATGTGCTAAAAGTATGAAGTTCATACTAGATTCAGAAAGCTTAGCACAAAGAAAGAGTATCTTATTAATACATTTTGTATTAGTTGCATGTTGAAATGATACTATTTTCTAAAGGAATAAATAAAATATGTTAACATTGATTTAATCTTTTTTATCCTATAAAATGTACATTATATACCATTGGACAATAGTTCTGGAGAGGAAAAAAAATTGAAGTTCAATATAGTACTTCTCCCTGCTGCCTTGATTTCTATTCTGGCAGAGGGTATCTGAATACTCAGAGAGAAGGATGTACAGGATCGTCCATATTTACTTGGGCAATTAAAGTAGATGAACTGTAGGCTTACCTCACACCCTGGACTAGGATTTCATGAAAACATTTACATGGAAGCTGAGAGGACAATCAAAAGTAGGCTGTTATTTATCATTTCTAAAGCAGATTTCTTAATACTGAATCCTTATTGTTCTTGTTTGTTGATTATAGCTTAAAACAAGCAAGATGTAAATTGCATGACTCCTTGGAATTGTTTTCAGTGGAACTCTGTCGAACTTCTGGGAAATAAAATTTAAAATGCCTTCTTTTTCACTAAGAACCACAAAATTGTAGATTAGGAGCAAGGATGCTAACCTACTTTCTTCCCAATCCATCTTGAACCAATAACTTTTTTTTTTTTACTTTACTCCCGTTCCAAAAAAAGATTTCCCTTATTCCTCATTTGTTTTTTTTTCAATTTTATTGGCGTGTTTTGACATGATGTATTTGAAAGAACCTGAGTCCAAAATTACTTTATGTTCCTGTGAGACCTTTATACAAATGAGTTGGTAAACTGTGGTTGAGTAGTGTTTAGTTCAGAAGTAGTTTTCATTAAAGTTTAAATCTCTTTTTGAATGCAATGCTTTGGGACATTCTTAATTATTTTTGACTTTTCTTTGAGATTAAAGAGGAGATTGATGCCACCGGTAGGCTTATATGATCACAGCCGAGGGCTCTAGGATCTGGCTGCTTCTATTAGTGGTAGCTGTATACCTTGAGGACATTACTGGACATCTCAACTGTAATCGTAAAAATTGTTGTGCAGACTAAATATGTAGAAAAGCAGCCGGGTGACAGCAGCTCACACCTGTAATCCTAACTACTCATGAGGCTGAGTATCTAAGCGCTTCAAAGCCAGCCCGAGGCAGAAAAGTCCCCATGAGACACTGATCTCCAATAAACTACTCAAAAAAAAAAGCTGGAAGTGGGGCTGTGGCTCAAGTGGTAGAGCACTAGCCCTGAGTACAAAGAGGTTCAGGGACAGTGCCCAGGCCCTGAGTTCAAGTACCAGCAAAATTTAAAAACAAAAACAAAAACAGATTGTAGCATAATTTGGCTAAGATAAATATTCAGTAACATTAATTGGACGTATTATTGCTATTATGACTATTATAATTTCATTGCTGCTATCATTACCTTCTGTTCCGGCAAGTGGATTCCCGTCCTGTGCAACACATTTACAGTTGGTACTGTCCCATAGCATATCAATAGGACAGAGTTTCTTGGAATGGGGGCATCTACGAAAAGAAATCAAGAGATTAGATTTAAAAGCTTTCCAAACTAATCAAAATTTTGAAGCATTAAACAAATTTCCAAGTGTATCAGCAGTCACAGTTCTAATGTGTTTATTTTCTATTTCAGTCACACAGGAGGAATACAAGTTTATTATATACTGTATTGTATAATGCAGTGATTGCAGTTAATAAATGCATTGCGTATTCCCAAATTCTCAGGGACAACATTCAAAAGCTCTCACTTCAAGAAATGACAGTTATGAGACTTTAACTCATATTTGTAAACTGTGTCTTATTAGATAGTAATTCTGTAATTATGAATATTCCATTGGGTGATTTTCAGAAACCAGGCTGTAATTCAGAAAAGTTACTTTATCTCCTACAAAAGATAGTTGTTAAAACTAGGCAAATTAAGCTGGGCATTGATGGCTCATGCCTGTAATCCTAACTTCTCAGGAGGCTGAGATCTGAGGATCATGGTTCAAAGCCAGCCCAAGAAAGTCCGTGAGACTCTGATCTCCAATAAACCACTAGAAAACCGGAAGTGGCGCTGTGGCTCAAGTGGTAGGGTGCTAGCCTTGAGCTGAAGAGCTGAGGGACAGCACCTAGGCCCAGAGTTCAAGCCCCCCCATGACTGACAAAAACAAAGCAAAACAAAAAAAAAACTAGGCAAATTACAGCTGTTAACAGTTTATTTACCCAGAGTAAATAGTGCTCTAACATAGTTTCTGAGATTATTTTCTTTAGGATGGAAATAAGGATGTTAGCTAGGGCAGCAGGAAGATCTCAAAACTAGATGTATGTTCCTTTCCCATACACTTAATCTTTGCTTGAGGGAAAAAGAAGTGTTTTCTTGGCTCAGTGTTAACTAGCATATAATCACAAGCTGTCCTTCACTTGACACATAATACTTTTATTACAAAATCCAAGTGTTTAACTTAGCTACTTTAATCTTTCTACTCAGTATTTCCAATTTGCCCTTAATGGTTTCCCTATATTAAATTTCCCCCCTCCCAATCAATGATCCTTACCCTTGTTTTCAGAGCACATTAGAGCACTTTTGTCTTATATAAAGAATCACAAAAAGGAGTCTCAATAAAATGTGAAAGTGAAATGAATTTTAAGTCATTTTTCAAACCCCATACAGTACTGGTGCTTGAATCAAGACCATGCATTCTCACCTGGCTTTTTCTACTTAGGGATGGTGCTCTACTATGTGAGCTACACTTCTACTCTGGCTTTTAGCTGGTTAACTGGAGATAGGAGCCTCTTGAACTTTTCTTCCCTGGCTGACTTTGAGCCTCTATTCTCAGATCTCAGTCTCTTGAGCAGCTAGGAATACAGGCCTGAGCTGCCAGTGCTTCTTAGCTTATGCTATTTTAAAATAGAACACTGAGAAACTTGTATACTAATTGTTATGCCATTTCCAATGAATCATTGGTGCATTTTACAACTACATATGACCATGCATATTAAGGACAAGCACTTACAATAACCAAAGTGTCTATACTTGGTGGATCCTAACCACCAAGCTTTTGGGTTTTCTGATCTATCAAACCCTAATAAAAAATCTTTTTGCCAAACCATTACTAACAGCAGACTTTGAAGCTAAAAGATGAATGAGCAACAAAAAAATTATGACCATAATTCATGAGGTCTTTTCTAGGCTAGGACAAACACAATCTAGTATGTGAAATGCTTACCGATCTTCTTCCGGAATCTGGATGGATCTTCTGATAATTGAGTATGGATGGGGAGGGGCCGTTGGCAAGCACTTACAACCTGTGTGGTTAGCTACCTTCACAGGCACTAACTCAGGTACTGAGGTCAAAGGCACTGATATCTCAAAGAGCTATAACAGAGAAAGATAGCCATAATTGTATTTTACTTTATTATTTTCTTTTAAAAATTCACAATCTGCATTTTTGCCTCTGTATTTATGGTAGTGACCTTAGCAAAGTTGTCCAATAAGAATGAAACTTTTAATGATGAAGAATGATGGAATGAGGGGCTATTCACCTTTATGAAGTAGCTCGTGATTTTTCTCCTTCCTTCTTCTTTCCTTCCTTCCTTCCTTCTTTCCTTCCTTTCTTCCTTGCTTTCTTTCCCTCCTCCCCCTCCCTTCTCGCTCTTTCTTTCTTTCTTTCTTTCTTTCTTTCTTTCTTTCTTTCTTTCTTTCTTTCTTTCTTTCTTTCTTTCTTTCTTTCTTTCTTCCTTTCTTTCGTCTTGGGGCTTGAACTCAGGGCCAGGCTGCTGTCCCTGAGCTCTTTTGCTTAAGGCTAGCACTCTACCACTTTGAGACACCGCTCCACTTCCAGGTTTTGATGGTCAATGGAAGATAAGAGTCTCACATGGACTTTCCTGCCTGGGCGGGCTTTGAACTGTGATCCTCAGATCTCAGCCTCCTGTGTAGCTAGGATGACAGGCTTGAGACAATGGTGCCCAGCTCATGATTTTTCAAATGTCCTAACTTTTTGGTGTCATTTATATCCGTGTAAAATGACACTGGCCTCTGCTTTTACTTTAAATATGAGAATAAATTGTAGGGATTCAATGAGCTATGGAGGTTCTGTGAGTACTTGCTGGATGTGATCATTATACCAACTATTTACTTATCCCTTCCATTATAATTTCCTGACTCTTGACTTTGGATGCAGCTATGTCACTAGTTTTGGCCAGCAAAACTTTAGCAGGCACAAGTACAAACTGGAACTCGTATGCTTTGTAAGACTTTATTTTTCTCTTGCTTATCTGTAACCATAGAAGAATAAGCTGGGTGCTAGTGGCTCACACCTGTAATTCTAGCTACTTAGGAAGCTGAGATCTGAGGATCGAGGTTCAAAGCCAGGCCAGGGAGGAAAGTCTGTGAGACTCTTATCTACAATGAGCCACCAGAAAACCAGAAGTGGAGTTGTGGCTCAAGTGATAGAGCACTCACCTTGAGCTGAAGAGCTCAGGGACAGTGCCCAGGCCCAGAGTTCAAGCCCCACGACTGAAAAAAAAAATAAAAAAGAACATAATCTGACAGGGTTGTTGTTTAATGAATGAGAGACACAAGAGAAAAGATCTAGGCTCACACTACAGGCTTGAGCCAAGCACAACTGAGCCCCTTAAACTAATTGATCATCACATCCGAAATGATCATTTGTTGTTCTTTGAAGCCATGGAGGTGTAGGGTGTTTTTCCCCCATAGCATTGAGTAGCTGACATAAGATCATGTCCAAATGAAAACATGCCATTCTATGTTTCTATATCCTCAGCCTGTTACAACAGGCACTTTGTGATTAGTGTGTGTGCATATGTGTGTGCTGGTGGGAGGTGTGTACTGGTATTAGGCTTGAATTCAGACTTTTGAGCTCTCATTTGTCCTTTTTTTGCTCAAGGTTGGCACAATACCACTTAGAACCACATCTCCATGTCTAGTTTTTTGCTAGTTAACGGGAGACTTTTCTGCTTGGACTAACCTAACTAACTGTGATCCTGTGATCATAGCCTCCTGAATACAGATGTGAGCCACTCATGCCTGATAATACTTTATTAATAATTTACCCCTTATGAAACAGTATGGGGTGAGATTTTTAAATTATTATTCTTATCCTCCAGATTAAGAAAGAGATAAACAAAGAGATTATATATTTATCAAGTGTTGTTCTATGATGTGTACAGAATTTTGAACTTGATTTTAATGAGCTGTCCATCAGTCCCCATTCCATGTAATGTTTACTATGTATTCATTTACTTATTTTCTTTTGAATAGGGAATTCATCATGTGATCCATAACTTTGAGATGAGTGTTTTGATATTCTCTATTAAAATGTTCACATATGCATATTTGGAAAGAAAAACTACTGTACATTTTTACTTGCGCACATTCTGTAAAATGAATAAATTGTTGAGTGCAGCAGTCAAAACACAATACTCAACTATCTACTAAGTGGAAACAATCCATTAATGTTGTGGTTTTTTTTCTGACCTTTCAACATGTAATGTAATTTCCATGAGAATAAGTAAGAGTGTTTTAGTGTTTGCTTTGCCTAAACTTCATCTTCTTGCACAATTCTTCAGCTTTCTCTAGGGAATCACACAATCATCAACTAAATCATCATACATTATGCAAACTTTGTTTTACTAACAGTTGATGCTTGGCCATATTTTATCTACTTCTGATTGTCATATATTAGAGGTCAGAGTTTTCACAAGCTCCCAGATTATCTAAAAGGCATTCAAAAAAGAAATCAGGAGCTGGGTGCTGGAGGCTACCACCCATAATCCTTGCTACTCAGGAAGCTGACCTCTGAGAATTCAAAGTCGACCTGCTGGGGCAGAAAAGTCTGTGAGAATCTATCTCCAATTAATCATCAAAATGGCTAGAATGGAAGCATGGCTCAAGTGGTAGAGCACCATCCATGAGCAAAAACGCTGGGTGAAATCACAAGGCTCCTTGATACCACGCCCACCCAGACTCTCCAAAAATAGAGAAAAGAAAAAGAAACCCTGAAGTTTAAAGGATATATTTTTTCCTTATTTTTTTTCTTTTCTGATCTGGGGCCTTGAACTCTGGGCCTGGGCCCTGTCCCTAAGCTCCTTTTGCTCAAGGCTAGCACTCTACCACTTGAGCCACGCACCACTTTTAGCTTTTTCTGTGATTAATTGGAGGTAAGAGTCTCACAGACTTTCATGCCTGGGCTGATTTTAAACCATGATCCTCAGATCTCAGCCTCCTGAGGATTACAGGCATGAGCCACCAGCATTCAGCTTAAAAAATATTTTATAGGAAAAAAAAAGAATAAGTTAACCTGTTAACCAAACAAATTGACATTAAAAATTGGCTACCATGGATAACTTTAGTGCATACATGATTTCTTGTAGTACTTCTTTTCATGGTCATGAGGTCATGGTCATGTGGCACTATCCCTCAGATCTTCAGCTCAAGGATAGCGCTCTACCACTTAAGCCACAGTGCCACTTCTGGCTTTTTCTGCTTATGTGGTGCTGAGGAATTGAACCCAGGGCCTCATGCATGCAAGGCAAACGCTCTATCACTGAGCCACCTTCCCAGCCTCTTTTCCAAGGTCTTTTGTGCTGGATGTTCTCTCTTTGCCTCTTCAGAGATACCGTCTTTTCTCCTTCCTTCCCCACCAGGCTCTGTTCCCAGGTCACTGGCCCCCATGGCTGGCATAAATGGTGCCCGTCAGCTCTCCCAGCACCCGTCCCCATTTCCTGCCAGGCTAAGGGTTGGTGGTGGCAGCAGCCAGTCCAGCTGCTCTGGCTTCCACAGTCCTTCTGGTCTCTTCAGTTTAACACTCAGAACCACTCTCCCTTCTTGTGATAGTCCTAGGTACTTTACTCTTCTGTCTCTCTTCTTCCATTCCCATCCACACTTTTCATTAAACTCTCCCCAGACATTTCAGTTGGGCAACACAGAACCTAGCAGATGCACAAGACAGTGTGACTGCCTTCATTTCTGAGATCAACCTGTTCTAGTCACTTCTGTATATTTTCTGATTCTTGACCTTACTACCATTAGAGAGATAGTGACTGGAGTCCTAGATACCAGGTTAAGATCCCAGCTCTGTCATTGGCCAGCTGTCTACCTATGTGTAAGTTACTTCTCTGAGCCTCAGTTTCCTCATCTGTCCAGAAGGATCAGATAATTTTTCAGCTTGTTTAGTCTTTAGGGATTTAATGAGACTATGCAGGTAAAGCAGTAAGCACAGGGGCTGACAACAAAGCCAGTGGCAGGTGACAATTCCATCATCATTAAAGCACTGAAGAGGCCAGGCTTCGTGATGGACCACCCTCATACCTGTTTGGAAACATAGGAAGTGCTCGTGTTCATACACATGACGCTCTCTTCATTACAGCAGCCGCCACACCGGAACACAAGGACACATGGGGGCTTGAAGAATGTGTTGGTACTCTTCCCCAGCTCGCTGGCAACTTCCACGCATGTCTCTCTAGGGCTGCACTGGGTTCTTTGCCACTCTTCATCTATAACTGCATAAAACAAGCTCATTGGGACAATAAACAAAATGGTCCTGCTGTGCCAGAATGTGCCAGCATGTGCCAGGGTGCTGAATCTAGAGAGCTGTGTTCACATTTTTACTGTGTGTTTCTTTTGCTAGATGGCTATTCTTGTCAGTCCTTTAAGAAAAGTTTGCCTACAAAAAAAAGGAAACCGCAGCTGGGCACTACTAGCTCACACCTGTAATCCTAGCTGCTCAGGAAGTTGAGATCTGAGGATCATGGTTCAAAGCCAGCCTGCGCAGGAAAAGTCTGTGAGACTCTTACCTCCAATGAACCACCAGAAAACTGGAAGTGGTGCTGTGGCTCCAAGTGATAGAGTGCTAGGCTTGAGCAAAAGAGCTCAGGGACAGTGCCCAGGCTCTGTGTTCAAGGCCCATGTCGTACAAAAAAAATAAACCCCAAATAAGTGCTCCATTCTATTTTTACCGTACTTTCATGGGGGAGGGTTTCCCCTTGGGAAAGAACATTATGTCTGTGTACAACCATGTTTGATCTATCTGGAGAAGCTGACTACTGAAGAAGTCAATGGAAGCATATAAAGAAGTAACATGTAAATAGTATTTATCAAGCAAAATTTAGAGACACAACTGGATAGCATTTTTTTCTACTTAAAGTCAAGTGTGAATATATTCTAGCACCATCAAGAAATACGTTTCTGGTGGTTGCTAAAATAATTTATTGTGAGACTTAACCCTGACAAGCACATGAATGGGCATTTAAGTGGAATTAATCTTTCCTCAGAACAGTGTACTCACTTTTGGAAATATTCAATACTTCCAAATATTTGTATATAAAAAAATGAAATAAGCCCACTCAGTTTAATATCTTTCCTATCTGCTTTTTCTTTTTCTATTCCTTTACCCCAATTTTCTTCTTATGTTGTTTCTTCAATTACCAAAAATACAAAATAACACCATGTATGTAACTGTAATTTATGTAAATATTTGTTCATAATATCAGTCTTCAGTATTGAGAAAGCTTTTTAAAATTCCTCATTATGAATATTTATATAAAGAGTTTTAAGTGGCTAACAGGAGAGAGAAATTGATCAATTAAACATTAATATGGTACTATTTGATTCACTAATATTCATCATGAATCTTTGGGAAAACAAACAAGTAATCAGCTATAAAAACAGTCCTTGTCTAAAATTCTACTTAGAGTTTGATTTTTATTTTTTATTTTTTTAAAACAAAGTATTGAAAGTTGGAGAAGATTTTAATCAAAATTTCATGCAGTTACGAGCAATGCCACTAACTAAAAGCTTTATAACTCTACTTTTTTTACTATTGCCAATTACCCTGAAATATACATGCGAGGGAGCCGATAACCAAGTGTAGTTGATGTAGCATAATGATTTGATTACTTACTGCTGTAGAGTCTGCAAATTCCTATTTTTAATGGATTCCTCCTTAGAAAATGTCAACTTCACTGACTATTCCAAATTACTTGTGGGGGGGACAGTAATAGCGTTTGAACTCAAGGTCTTACATTTGCTAGGCAGCACTTTACCACAGACGCATGACTCTAGCCCTCAAATCACTCTGGGTTTTGTGATAACTCTTGCTGTCTCAAAGCATCTCCATGATCACCTCAGACCTTCAGGCAGATAATCTGGTTAAGGCCTTTGATATCCAAATGAGATGCCATTCCTCTGCTTCATGAAATCGTTGTCATCATTTGCCACAAAGCCATAATTGGATGTTCACCCCTTGACCATATTTTCTACCATCTCTCTCTCTCTCATACACACACACACACACACACACACACACACACACACACACACATACAGTCCTACACAGGAACACACAGTCTTCTTCACATTTGTGTCTACTCTGCTGCTGAGGGATTTGTCTCCATCTATACATAGCCTTCTTCACAGCCAAGTCTTGTGCAGCATCATATATTAATAAATGGAGGGAAAAAAGACAACTCTGGGCAGAAAAGAAAATAATACGTTTTATTTAATGGCCAATTTAAAATATTTAGTCGATACAATCATGTAATAGATGATCATATTATTCAAATGTACAATGTTAGATCCATGGTGCCACAATGATTTCTTAGGCTGTTTCTGACATGTCATCAAAAAAGTTAAGCGCCAATTAAAGGCCATACAAGTTCATTTGGCAAGCATTTCCTTCATTATGGCACAGTTCACACATACAGTGGTTTTCTTGGTCTGCATCTCAGTGTGGAAATCACTGGAAGTGGGGCAAGAAGACATCAGAGTCTTCTCCAAGAAGGCAATAGGAAGTGTGGTGGTCACTTCATATTTGCAGGAGATTGGGTCTAGGTACCCTCCCCTCACCGAACAAAATCCTTGGGTGCCCAAGCTCTTTATATAAACTTGGGTAGTATTACATCTAGCCCATGCCATTCCTTCATGTACTTTAAATCCTCTCTAGATGACTAATACACTATCATCATTTAGAGACTGATGATAAGAAGATGAAGTCTTCATATGTTCAGTATGGATGCAACTGTTTTTCAAATATTTTCCATCCATCATTGGTCAAACCCCTGGTGTAGAAGCCTGCAGACACGGAGGACCAATTTGACGTTATGTTTTAGCCCAGAGTCTATTTTGTGTGGAGAATTTTCTCCATTATGCTCTTAGTAATACAAGTATCCAGGGGGAGGCGAGAGAAGGGTAGGGATAGTAGGGGGAAAAAAAGGAGGTACTCAAGAAAGGTACTCATGCTGGGCACAGGTGGCTCACGCCTGTAATCCTAGCTACTCAGGAGGCTGAGATTTGAGGATCGCGGTTCAAAGCTAGCCCAGCAGGAAAGTCCAAGAAATTCTTATCTCCAATAAAACCACCGGAAAGCCAGAAGTGGCACTGTAGCTCAAGTGGTAGAGTGTTCGCCTTGAGCTGAAGAGCTGAGGGACAGCGCTTAGGCCCAGATTTTAAGCCCCATGACCGACCAGAAAAAAAAAGGTACTCATTACCTTACTCATGTAATTGTAACCCCTCTGTATAGCATCTTTACAATAACATAAAATTTAAAAAATAATACCAGTTCCCATTATGACAACCTAGCTTCTACATTCTGCTTTTCACTTTTACCCAAAATCATAGGATTTGGAAGAAGTAAAATAGCGATAGTTAATATTTTTCTTTTTGAAATCTATGTATGCATGGTATTAGAATGCGCTTTGTTAATGAATATCCAGGTTCATTTTTAATGTAAACTTGATGGACCTTTTTTTTGTGGGGGTGGTCGTGCAGCTTGAACTCAGGGCTTAAGCACTGGTTCTCACTCTGACACACTCCTGCTCTACTCAAACTTTTGGAGAAAGTTGGTGTATCAGTCACTATCTAATAAAGTAAGAATTGGCCACATACTCACACACCTACCTTTGAGTGTTTCGATGTCATAGAAAGATGCTGCAAATCTGGTGGACCGATGGGATGCTGAGCGGGAGTCCATATTACTAAAACTTTTCAGCTTCAGCCGGCATCGCCACAGCTTCCAGTCCTCAGAGTGGGTGATTTGAAGCAGTTCTTCCAAACTAGAAGCGGCTCTCATCTGCTGCTCAGACTGCTCTAACACTGACAGAGAGGATTGCTTAAGACAAAAATATCAGTGGAAGAGAAAATTACTTAAGATTTTTTCATAACTTTCATTGCTGACACACATATAAACAGATCTGTTTAAATTAGAGATTATTCAAATGTATATCAATGCCTAGGTAAAATGATATCTTCTACCTTTAATCTACATTTTACCTATGTATGATTGAATCACAGATTTACTTCTCCTGGGTGGTCAATACTCTCACAATAAATATTATGCTGGATTGACTGTGGAGTTAAAAAATGATATGTTCACATCCTAGTGCCTGCAATCTGCAAGTTTTACCTTACTTGGGGAAGGGATATATGTAGATGTCACAGAATTAAGGGTCTTGAGATGATGTATTATCCATGTAAACCCTAAATACAATAACCAGTGCTCTTACAAGAGAAGAGGAAAAGGAGTAAATACAAAGGACAGGCCATGTGAAGACTGGCAGGGACTGAAGGAGTGTGGCCATAAACAAGGAATTCTCTGGAATCACCAGAAGCTGGAAGACCTACGAGAAAGAGAAGGATTTTTTCTGTGCATTTGACATCTTGACTTCAAATATCTTTTCTGTTGTTTTAAGTCATTACATTCGTGGTAACTTGTTACAGTAACCATGAGAAAGTAACACAGATTTTTATCATACTAATTTTCTCACCAATGAAAAATTGCTTTCATATCTACTATTCATTTGAGAACCTAGGCCATAAAGGCCTGGAGATTACAATCCAAAAAAGAAGGAACTATTTTGAAACCTTGAATCTCCTAACATCTAATCTTTTGTGTCAGTTTTTAATTTTAAAACATGTTTTGGATTTCAGAAATATGCTTTTTTCTTACAAAATGCACTCCTAGCCTTTTTTAAAAAAATTTTACATTCTTAGATATGTGGGTTTTTAAATTTTTTTCTGTGAGATATGAATGAAGGAAATTTAATGAGAATGAAGGTAGGGAGAAGCTTGAGGAACAAAAACAGGGTTTGTGGAATTGCTATTGGGTTAATGTGGCTTGTTCCAGCTTCTTTATCTAAGAACTCTAAGGATGGGCTGGGAAGGTGGCTCAGTGGTAGAGCGCTTGCCTTGCAAGCCTGAGGCCCTGGGTTCGATTCCTCAGCACCACATAAGCAAAAAGAAAAAAGCCGGAAGTGGCACTGTGGCTCAAGTGGTAGAGCGCTAGCCTTGAGCTGAAGAGCTGAGGGACAGCGCCCAGGCCCAGAGTTCAAGCCCCACAACCGGACCCCCCTCCCAAAAAAAAAAACAACTCTAAGGATGAAACAGAAAAATTGTTAGGTCCTACTGAGCAACTCTGAAACTCAATTATTCTACATCAAGGCTCATCGGTCAATAGTCTCTCTTTTGATTATTCACTTCCTCTTCTAGTTAGACAATAAAACCACTTCATATCCAAGTTAATCTTTTGAATGAATGTTTTTCAGCTAAAATATTGTGAATACTACTTCCACAAGAAAGTGATTAAATCAACTAAATAGCTCTTTAAAGATTAAATTTCACTGTGTTGAAAAGATTTTCATCTAATGCCATCCATAAATACAGGCCAATGTATGACTTCATAGTTCTTACAGGTTTCAGTTCTATTTCAAAAATACTTTTGAACTATTCAATCATGGAAACTCAGGAGAAAAATAAATTCAATTCTCCAGACTGAATTGAACTTATGGTTCATGGTTTGCTTTGTCATGAAAAATTGTAATATTTACCCAAGCACTCAAAATCATTTAAGCATATGTTTTTTCATAATTTAAAATCTAGTTTGGAAGAACTTAGAAATGACACCCAGTTATTTCACAATTATAAATGGAAATGGTAACACTTCAACAACATAGAAAACTAATAACTAATTCATCCAGAACATTCATTTACAAAAGGTCAATAACAACTACCCATTGTTTCCAATAGATTTCTAGCATTGATTGATTTTTATACAATCAACTTTATATTACTTTCATGGGCAATACAAAAATAAGCATGAAAAAGTATGAATATAGTCACCAATACATTCTTAAGTCATTGATTTCAGTGGTTTTTAACAGTTAAATTTTGCCAGATCACTCACTTGTGATTCATCTCTACTATCTGATCCAGTGCTACTCATCAAAGCTAAAATAACTAAAAAGCAGTCAGCAAGAGGAAGTGAAAGAGATAACTAGATCTTTTTTTAATATAATAGCAGATTATTTTGCCAATGCAAGATGGTTAGCAATTTCGCTCCTAAAGAGCAAATTATTTTCTGGTTTCATTGCTGCCACAAGTCAGTTTCTAAAATATGAGACTTAAAGTCTTCGTAATTCCACGTTTTTTATTTGTTTGTTTGCTGGTCATGGAGTCTGAACTCGGCTTGGGCACTGTCCCTCAGCTCTTCAGCTCAAGGTGAGTGTTCTACCACTTGAGCCACAGCACCACTTCCGGCCTTTTCTGCTTATGTGGTGCTAAGGAATGGAACCCAGGGCCTCATGCATGCAAGGCAAGCGCTCTACCACTGAGCCACCTCCCCAGCCCCTGCAATTCCACTTTATCAGTGTGTAAATGTACACTGTTCAGAGATGAAACAGGCACAGAAGGCCAGGCAATAGCCATACTGCTGGTTGCCTGGCTACACACTGTGCAGTTTGTTGCTGAGCTTCTCAACCTTGGCTTCACTTTGAATATACCTGGAAAGAATCTCCAGAAATACTGAACCTTGAGTCTCCTCTTCAGTCTCATTTCAAATTGTGGGCTGCAGCTTTGTCATCAGGATTTTTAGTAGAAGCTAGGTAAGGGATTTAGAGCAGCTCTCTGAAATCTGCGCAAACTGTCTATCTAAAATTATGCCAACATGAAAGGTTTTTTAAAAAATAAATACATCCAACTAATTTGAATGAGAACTCCTAATTTAGGGCATGATGTAACTAATTTTCATTTCAAAGACCTGGTTAGAGCCTGAACTCTGTACAAGTCTACTAATCTTTAGTAGGAAATAAATGGCTTTCATAATGAGAAAGTGTTATTCTTTAAATTCCATTGACTTATACACTTGGGGTTTAAAATATTTTATGGTTATTGGGAAGTACATGATGGGGTTTGGATTGCAGGCCTGATGCTTGCTAAGCAGATAATATACCATTTTAGGTACTCCTGCAGTCCCTTTCTATATTGGCTATTTTCAAGATAGTGTCTCACTTTAAGCCCAGGCCAGCCTGGATTGTGATCCTCTTATTTGTGCTTTCCCTTGTCACTGTGATGATAGGTATGTACCACTGCTCCCAAACACTTATTGAGACAGAGCCTCAAGAATTCTTACACCTGAGCTGGCCTTGAAGCAGGATTTCCACCCCCCACCCCAATCTCTACCTCTCAATGTACTGGAATTATAGGCTTGAGACTCTGTGTCCAGCCTTTGTATGAATATCTTCCTAAAACAGATTTTTTAATCTCATGTCAGCTGATTGCCGAGTATTTCCCAGCTTGTGTGACTTTTTCCAAGATTGAAGACCAAAGATACATTTTTTTTGCCAGTCTTGGGGCTGGAACTCAAGACCTGAGCACTGTTCCTGAGCTTCTTTTGCTCAAGGCTAGCACTCTACCACTTGACCCACAGAACCACTTCTAGCTTTTTCTGTTTATGTGGTACTGAGTAATCGAACCCAGGGTGTCATGCATGCTAGGCAAGTACTCTACTACTAAGCCACATTCCCAGCCCCCCAAAATTAATTTTTTTAGCTAAGCAGCATGATGAGATTGGTTGCTTTAAGAAACAATCCTAAATGGCATACAAAATCACCCTTCAAATTCCTCCAAATCTCAAACAGCCCATTCCTCAAAGCAAAGTTTTAAAAACATAGGTACTGCTTTAATGTACTGGGATTCAATGGAAAAGTATAAATGATATACCTATTGAACATTAATTAGATTGATTACCATGTCCCCTCCGTGTCTTAGCAACTTTTTGAGTTTCGCTGAAGGAGCATTTTGTGTGTCATCTTTACCTGGAGGGTAAAGGCTCAGCTAACTCCACTACATTTTTCTGGTTCAGTTGTACCCATCATGCTCTGCTTCCCACTCTCCTCCTAGGTGTTCCTCCTCATTCACCTATCAAGGAATCTGCTTAAGTCCCATTAGACAGATTATCTGAGCAGAGAGAGAATAGATTTAAATTGTTCCAAAGTAGCTCTGAATGGTACAACATTCTGGAAAATGTGTACACAATTTGTTATTTAAAAAAACATGCTAAAGTATATGACCCAGAAGTCTTCCTAGGAATGTACCTTGAGAGAGGAAGTCTATGTTCACAAACAAGTTTGTACATGATAGAAAAGGTGACACCAACCAAGGTGCATTGTGTTCATAGTTGGCTTGCTGAATTGAAACAACTTTGTACAACTATTCAATGATTATAATAATAAATTTATTTTTTTAAAAAAAACCTAAAACAGATTGAGCCAGAAAACAATTGTACCTATAGACTTATATTAACTTTTTTTGTCATAGATAAAAAACTTCATCCACATGCATCATTCAGGAGGTGAATAGGTAAGAAACCCAAGTAATACTATTCACCAGTAAAAGAACTACTGGTAAGTGTAGCAACTTGCATTGGTCTCAAAGGCATTAGTAGTGGAAGAAGCCAATCTCAAAAGGTTAGATATTCTCAAACTACCAAAATGATAATGATGAAAAACTTATCTGTAGTTGCCAGAAACAACTGTGTGACAAGTGCCTAGGGAACAACTCAAAGCTATAAACTATGGTCAAAAAAATTCCATTCCCATGGCCTGGGAAGGTGGCTCAGTGGTAGAGTGCTTGCTTTGTATGCATGAGGCCCTGGGTTCGATTCCTCAGCACCACATAAGCAGAAAAAGCCAGAAGTGGTGCTGTGGCTCAAGTGGTAGAGTGCTAGCCTTGAGTTGAAGAGCTGAGGGACAGTGCCCAGGCCCAGAGTTCAGGCCAAAGGACCAACACCAACAACAAAAAATTCCACTCCCTCTCTCCACCTGCCAAGGGAGGAATCTGTTTCCTAGCTCTATTCATGTGACCTGCTTTGACCAATGAGACACACAAGACACAGTCAAGACCTGATGCACGCAGGCTTAGAACTTACTTATGATTGCTTTGCTATCTTGCATTTCTGTCATCCCTTCAAGCTCATGCTTCTGTGAGCCCACTGATCAAAAGATCATGTCAGCTGGGTGCCGGTGTTTCACACCTGTAATCCTAGCTACTCAGAAGGCTGAGATCTTGAGGATCACAGTTCAAAGCCAGCCTGGGCAGGCAAGTCCATGAGACTCTTATCTCCAATTAACCAGCAAAAAGATGGAAGTGGTGCTGTGCCTCAAGTGGTAGAGTGCTAGCCTTGAGCAAAAAAAGGTCAGGGACAGCACGCAGGCCCTTATTAGTTAAAGCTGTATGGCCAATATGTGTACACACATGCATGCATGCACGTGCGCACATGCACACACACACAAATGATTTCTACTCATATCCTTGACACGTATTAGTACATGCTACAAATGTTAATTGAGCTGAATCTAGAGTTTTCCTTTTTTTCCAGGGAGAAGAAGCCTCCTGACCAAAAGAAATAAACCTGCTTTCCTTCAACATACTTTATCTCAGTGATTGGTCTTAGCTGTTTCTTATCTTCTCTGAAGTTGTTTTTTAAGTATGAGAGCAAAGTCTAGGCTCTTCTGTTCCCTTAAAAGAGACATGATGGAAATCCATAAACTTTGTCTCCTCTGGCCCTGCCCAAGGTGTCTCAATATAATTCATGCCCTGATGTTGTTGTAAGACTGGGAATATTTTCATCATTTTAGAGATAAGGAATGCTCAGAAGCATTAAAGAGAGACCATATGTGATAGTTATTAATAGGGGTTACCATTATTTCCAGGTTTCTATCTTCCAAGTAAAAGTTAAGATTGCACTTTCTAGTCTTTTGTGACTAGATAGGGTTGGAGGCCTAGTGATACTGATAAGAAATGACATATCTGATTTCCTGCTGCATCTTTCTAGCTCAGTGAATAGGAGCAGGAGGAATCAATAAAAATTTATTGGGAAAAATTTTGGATGAATTACTGAATACTGGAAAGTTCTAATGAGAAAAAAGGGTTATTCTTTGTGAAAATTAGTATATCAAACAGCCAAGCCTTTCATGTCAGGGAGCTGAAGATTAGGGGGTCTCTTTGGTTTAGAATGTCCTAGTCTGTTGATAAGGAGTCTAAGACTTAGAAACTAGGAAAAGAGAAAAATACTCTCACTACCATAAAAGCGATCTGAGAAAAAATGTGTATCTCATCTCTGCCTCGTTTCATTTCATCTCAACTTCCATTCCCAATTACAGTAAATTCGCAACCTCTGTTCATATCACGTGCTAAGAATAAGTCGGGCCTGGAAATTTCTCAGAAACAATTTTACTGTCATTTTACCCATATTTCTCTAGCATCTTTATCTATTGTGGTAATAAATGTGCTTAAGAGCTTCAGATGCTCTCATTTTCAGATTGTTCATAAAATCATCTGTGGATATAAATACCCTAGTCTCATTCTAGAAATTTTCTTAGTAGTGGGTGTATACAAAAGAGTTATCCATAGGTCTAAATCAGGATTTTTAAATTAAAAATATAAACTGGGTGCTGGTGGCTCATGCCTATAATCCTAGCTAGTCAGGAGGCTGAGATCTGAGAGTTGTGGTTTAATACGAGCCCCGGCAGGAAAGTCTGTGAGTCTCCAATAGGCCACCAGAAAACCAGAAGTGGTGCTGTGGCTCAAGTGGTAGAATGCTTGCCTTGAGCTGAAGAGCTCAGGGACAGCACCCAGGCCCAGAGTTAAAGTCCCACACTGACAAAAATTTCTATAAAAGAAATAGCATTTCAAGATATAAGATCTATTGTATCCTTAGTACCAATAATATTTTATAGTAGTGTAAATGTTTCAACCACCAATAATCAGTTATAACTAAGAAGGTTAGAAGAGATGTCTGTGCCAAAGCTTAGAATTCAATATATTTAACTATAAGGTTATAAATGACAGTATCAGTGAAAGAATTGCTGATGTCTATGCCTGATAGAAAAGTGGATAAGAGCTCATTGGGTCATTTGAGTAGGAATAATGAAAATGTACTTCCTTGAGTATGACTTTATTAGTTCAAATAGGCTAAAGAAAAGGAGCATGCTGTGAAAGCTAGCCTAAGAAATACATTGCTTCCAGACACCCGGGGTTCATACCTATAATCCTAGCTCCTCAGGAGGCTGATATTTACGATTGCAGTTTGAAGCCAACTCAGGCAGAAAAGGCTGTGAGATTTTTTTCTTTTGCTGGTCCTGGGGCTTGATCTCAGGGCGTGGGCTCTGTCCCCGAGCCTCTCTGCACTCTGAACTAGCACTCTGCCACTTTAGACACAGTGCCACTTCTGGCTTTTTCTGAGTAGTTTATTGGGGATAAGAGTCTCATGGACATTCTTGCCTGGGCTAGCTTTGAATCACAACTCTCAGATCTCAGCCTCTTGAGTAGCTAGGATGATAGGTGTGAGCCACTGGCACCTGGGTCTCTGAGTTGTAGTAGTAGTTGTTGTTTTTATCTCCAATTAACCAGCAAAAAGCCAGAAGTGGAGCTATGACATGTGGTAGAACACCAGCCTTGAGCAAAAAGTTAAGAAGCAGTGCCCAGACCCTGAGTTCAAACCCTGGTACTGGCACATACCCACACAAATGTATTACTTATATTTTTCTCTGTTAAGGGAATACTATGACCAAATGATCCACATCATTATGTCTCATCACCCAGCCACATCTACTTCCATTTAGCTATAGGCAACTCTTTCCTACATATCAGACACAATTTAAGTTAGCTAGGAATTGGTTGGATAGAAGGTCATTATAGGGTGCTTCCCTTTCTAAAATGCAATTCTGACATTTAAGAGAAAAACTGCTAGCTGTATTCCAAAGCATGCACAGCCATATCTCCATGCATAAAAGTACATTCTTGTCACATGAAAATGCAGCTGCTTTTCTCCACTGCCCTGTTAAGCAAATGGATATGGCAGGAGTAAAGCTAAAACATTTCAAACTTGGCTATGCCCAAGACAGCTAGAGAGTCATAGAGTCTAAGCTCTTTAAGAGAGCTGAACAACTTAAAAAATCATACATCTGCATTAATTCGGTCTCTTCTCTCATACTACCAAATAAACTGATGATTTTTTAAAGTATACTGGCATAATTTTAAAATTCATCGAGCCCAGTGCATTTAAAGGATTCCTGTTTTCAGACAAAGAAGCTGGGCATTTTGAAAAGTTGTATTTGCTTTACACAGCCCGAATGCTTACTCCTCTTACCTATGCTGAGAATAGGATTTCTTTTCACCTTCCATTTGGCACAGAGATCCAACATGATGGCTGGTGTGTATATTTCATGTGTATTTCAATGTAGAAAAGATAGTAAGGTGAAGGCTATCAGACAAAATGACAAGAATCTCATGCCAGGCAAAGCCTTTCAGATATTTTTTCCCTAATAATTTTAATACAGAGATTCTGCATATCTGTTATGGGCCGCATGTGTATCTTCACTTTACATATCAAAAACATCACACTCCCACCAGGAAAGAATTCTCCCCTTTTGGGGTCAATATGGTCCCTGATGAAATGCGTGTTGCAAAACAACAGCTACAAAAACTCGTGACATATTTTATTGTCTGATCATAACCAGAAATTCCTAAACCAATAATGATTTAGCATCACTTCTGACAAAATAATTATATCTGAAACACTAGGAAAAATGAAATGTTTTAAAATGTCGCATCTTTTGAAATGTATAAAATTGGATAAAATACTGTTCCCACATCAGTAAAGCCCCATTTAAAATTTTTTTGAATTCCTCTCAATGTGTTAGGTTTTCCTTGATGTTTGCTCTTAGAACCAAAGAGCTGATTGCTAGATTTGATTATTATTGAATTTCATACACATTTCAAAAAGCAAAGAGCCAAAACAAACTCTGAGAATGCATTTTTCTAGAAAATATGCATAGAAAGCATTAACATTTTCAATTTACTAAAGAAATAGACTAACTTTTGCTGCTCACAAATTACCTGAAAATAAATGACCCACAAAATTATTTGTGTCATAAAAAATTCAGAAGGGATGTTATTGATCAAGATACCTTGTACTCATAAATTGCCAGGTCAAATTGAAACCCCTTTTTACAACTACTTAAAGATACTGAATAGAGAATACTAATGCAATTTAAAAATAAAATCAGTGCTTCATTAGAAAACCATGTGTCATTAGTATATACAATTGAGAGAAAGTTTTCCATCTGAAAGGATTTCAGAATGCTCATGCTATACTACCATCCACCCAATAATCCAAGAAACAATCACCAAGAAATTCCAACATTTTAAAATGCTCATGGCAAGAAACTTATTAGTCCTAAGAAACAGAGCCGTCAGTTACAAATGCAGGATACATCTTGTCCATTATTAATAGTGCTCTGCCCACTACTAACAGTGCTCCTCATTTTCACAATGCTTCCAAAATTGTGGGGGCAAAGAAAGAAAACCTTGCATAGAGGCCAGTTTACCACATTATAAACTGAGCTCACCTACCTTCACTGGTTCATGTTGATTACTGAAGCCTTGCACCAGCTGCACACAAGACACCATGAAAATATTCACCACTGCCCACTTTCCGTACATTTTGAATACTTCAATATCCATTGATAACTACACAGTTGAAAAAAGTCAGCCACAGAAAATTATTTCAAAAGGCATTCTCCAGAAGGAAAGTTCAAGGAAAACTTCACATAAAAAATCAGTTGTCGGTATTTTCACAATAAAAAAAATCAGTTGTGATCAAAATCCAATGAAATGACTTCAATTAGACAAGGTACTTTTTTTGCACAATCTTAGGTAGGGGTGGGGAGAGAGAGAGAGAGAAACAAGAAAAAAATGAAAATACTCTCACTCTCATGCTCCAAAAATAATCAAGAGGTGGATAAGTCTTCCATTTAAAGAAAGAATTCTACATTCAATTCATGTGCAACAAATTAAAAAAAAATCTTTTCCCTTTATGTCCAGGTTCTAGCTACTTTATAAAGAAGTGGTACGGCTACCAATGCTAGCAGTTACAGAAGGCTGGAACCCAACTCTAGATTAAAACTTTTTTTAACAACCTTCATGGAAGCTTGCAGAAGCATGTGTCTTAAATCTGACACAGATTTTGGCAGGAAATGCAGGGAAGTTTTGGCTGTAATCCTGCTGTATCTCCACCAATAGCAGGGCAATTTTTAAAACTGACTCCAATGCTCAGGGCTGCTGTTATTTTAAAGCAGATAACCTGTAACATGAAACCCCAGCATACTCACTGTCTTGATGATTGTATTGCAATGGGAGTGCATGGAAAGGGACCACAAATGCTCACAGATATGCTACCAGTAACAAAGGAAGCAATCAAATATGCTTCATACAAACTCACAAATGCACAAAAATAACAAAGGCATCTGTACACATATACAAAAGGCAAACATACCAAGAACAACTGCCCCTCTTCTTTTTTTTCACATAATAGAAGCTTAATAACATCAGTCACAACAAAAGACACTGATTTTTAAAGAAGCAATGATGGTTTATTTGCAGGTGCCAGGAAATAGCCAACATATAAATTGCTATAAAAATCATATCACTTTCACGTTGAATTCCTTAGAAACATCAGCGTAAGTGAGCTTTTGAAATGGAATGCTTTGTATGGTTTAACACCATGAATGTCCAAATTTTAGGAAGCATCAGATTCTGGTTTTGTGCCCTTCACTAGTTTCCAATCTTTGACTTCCAAGTTTTGGCCTTTTCAAACCCATTTTTTGCATTTCTGAAGTCAAGTATGGCTTCTGAAATTTCTTCATTGGTGTTCATCACAAATGGACCTAGGGCAGAAAGACACATTCACCAAGTTCTAGGTGACAGTATTATCATCTACCACTAGAAATGATACATATTTCTATAAGTTTCTAATTTGAAATGAAATCAAGGCATCTGAGATAGTAGATTTTTCTTTCACACTATTCAATTCTACAGGATTGCAATTTCAGTTTCTTGGTTAAGACTATGTTTGATCATAGATGCCCATAAAGACTGAACTTGAGATAAACGATGTGATCACATCTCACCCATCCATTGCAGGTAATGACAATTCCTTTATTCAAAACATTCTTAGAGAGAAAAAAATTAATGACTTCAATTTGAGCTTTTTTGGGGAGCAGGATTTTTTTCTGTTTATAGTATATTTATCACCTTCCTTCTCTCACCTCTAAAACAAAACAAAATAAAAACAAAAACAATACAACACATACAGAGCAAGTCAGAAGGTGAGAAAGATAGTCAAAGATAGTTAATGTAGGCGGGTGCTGGTGGCTCACACCTGTAATCCTAGCTATATAGGAGGCTGAGATCTGAAGATTGTAGTTCAAAGCCAGCCTGGGCAGGAAAGTCCATGAGACACTTAATTCAACGTAACCACCAGGAAACCGGAAGTGGCTCAAAGTTGCCTTGAGCAAAAAAGCTCAGGGACAGTGCCCAAGCACTGAGTTCAAGCCTCATGACTGACCATCAGCATGAAGGAAGGAAGGAAGGAAGGAAGGAAGGAAGGAAGGAAGGAAGGAAGGAAGGAAGGAA